TAAAAAGTCCAACGGTTTTGAGCTAATATCATAATTTTGAAGATAATCTGGCAAAAATTAAAGGAGGGATGCCACCTTTTTTATTTCTAATCAATTTGGATGTACATTTCTGTATCTTAATCTTCACTGAATGATTTCTATATCTCAATTCTCTTTTCAGAAAATACTTTGGCATTGTTTGTGAAAGGTTTGCTTTCAACATTTACACTCTTAGTCCTTCTTATTTCTTTAATATTACTACTTTACACACAGAATTTAATAATGTGTAGACAGCAATAACACCAAGTGTCAAGTATAAATGTAATGTATATATAGTCATCAAAATATTTCACATATTTTGCAATGTGACAAAACTGTAGACATTATAGAAGCAATATTTCTTAAATGTTCTCAAATATTGGCAAAAATTGTCTCATATATCATCATTTGGCATTTTATTGGGTGCAGGGTAATTTACAAATTGGGAAGCCATAGATGCTTTGATATAAACCAGACCTAGTTATCATAAAAGCAGAAACGTATGAGGACAAAGCTCCAACAGCAATTGCTGAGTAATAAAAATCAAAGGCAGCTGACCCCAATGAGCTTATGTGATATTATATTTGATTTATTTTTATCATAAGTCTAAATTTGGAAGCCCAATTGTTTTCCTCATAGAAGCAATTACCATCAAATATTTTATCAACTCACATGTCATTTCGAACAGTTCATGATTTCCAGACATTAATATTGTCCCTTTTTGTGTTGACGCATATTCAATATTTTTTTTCAGTGGCCATTTTGAAAATTTCTTCTTGCGCAAAGGTCCTTTCAAAACCATCCTTGAAATTCCTTTTCAAGTTAAGGTCCTGACATGATAAGGTCTCAACCAATAATATATTCACCATATTCAATTTATTGAGGAAAGGTCCTTTGTTCCAAAAGCATAAAGTTTAAACCAAATGTGTCAAATTGTATTTGACTTGTCATCTTACATTTTATCTGAAAAAATGCCGTCAACTGGTATTCAAGTCACATCTGAACGGAGGAATGAGCGAACAGATAGACGAGAGGTTCTCTATACCCCTCCAGAACTGATTGGTGGGATAATAAATATGCTACAGACATTTTTCTGAATCAAACCTTGAACCACTTGTATCCAAGGTACATGCTGAGCAACACCTGAGCTATCTGGACACTTTTATTTAAATGTACTCAAATAATGCTATAAGAGATTTTGGTTTAATTCTTTTTAATACTATGCACTATCAGTACTGGCCAAAATAATGCTAAGAGAGGTATTAGGGTTCAAATTCTTCCATACTGTTATTCATATGTTACAAGAGCCTTTGAGTTAATTTCATTAGTATGTGATCATATGTGAAAACTTCACTGTTTACCAATAAATATCAAAGGATGATGACGCATGTAATATTACATGAGGTTTGTGACTAATTTCATCACTGGAAATTATATGATCATATATGAGAGCTTCAAAGTCTTCACCAATAAAAATCAAAGGTAGCTGAACTGGCCCAAGTAATGTTATATGGTGGTTTGAACTAATTGTACTACTGCACACTACAATATCTATATGATCATATGTGAGAGCTTCAAAGTCTTCAATAATACACTAATTGAATTTGAAAGCTCTGGTATGGACTCAAGATTTACTTACATTAAATATTTAGTCCACAAATTGGAAAGTACTTCCACACATTTGGATTTATTGAATTCTACAAAAGAGTTGCCAATGCCTATAGATTAGTCAGTTGCTTTGTAAAGATAATCTGATAACTACATTTGCGTTTCTTAGATGAAACCAATTAACTGAGACAAAAGTGATCCCTTGAATGCTTAATGAAATAATACCAAATGAGACGTGTCACAAGGAAGGTCTAAGCATTCTGATAGAAATGTTAGCAAAAAGAAAAAACACTCGCTGAAATGCACTTAAGACTACAGTACTTTGATACTGCACCTACATTATCTAAGGTATATAGCAAGAGTGTCCTTAATTCATGCTCTGATACACATGGTAAAATCAAAGCAATACTGTTCTTATTTCTTACTGTTTCAAGTTTCCAGTAGCCTCAGAACTGGCGCAATTGGAACTCATCACATTTCTATTGCTTTCATATTATATTTTTCACAGATTTCAACACTTTGAGCTAGTTAACACATTTCCGAAGATGGTAATAACATGATAGTGAGGTTTAACATTCCTTCATATCATTTCCAATTTGCATACCATGTTCTGAATCAATCAAACTCATCCACTGTTAATCCCCGTATTCAGATGTAGAAATCTCCACTCCATCTCTCATTAGATTAATGGAGAGAATGCATGAAACAATATCCTAACAAATACGTCATTTCAAACAGTTACACAATGTAATCAGGACTTAGTGAAGTAAGGCATTACAATCTAAATCTAGAAAATGAAAAATTGTGAAAAATATGGCCACTGCTATATGAACTTGTAAGTCATTGATTAAAACACAATATGTCTTTATTGGTCACTGAAGCATGGTAATTGATATTAATGACTCTATTTCCCAGATTAATCCTGCCATTTGATATTAAGATACAAATGCCATCAGTCTGACAAACTAATAGAACCCACAACGATATCTTGAGGCGTATCCATTTAATGAAGATGTCAGCCTAATATTTATAAATCTTCAACAAATAGCTGAGTTTATATCTGCAGCCAAGATTTGTTTAAATCAAGACATTGCACAAACACGAATTGCAGAATTAATCATGGATATTCGTGGAGCTGTAGTTGGAGATTCCCAAAAGGCACCCAGTTGGACTTTATATAGCCATAAATTCATCTGAACTTTGAAAATACTGTGTGTATTGATTGATCATTCGGTTTCATACATCTTGTTTACTGAAACACACTTGCACAATGTACTTTATCACTATTCAGCATTATAATAGATCAAAGTCTTTTGGCTTAACTAGAACTCAATCCGCAATGATCACAACATTTACCTTTTAATCATCTCTACACAATGGTTTATTACCTTTTTTTGTTTAATACCATTCTAAACAGCTGAGAACTTCGGTACATTTAACTTGCAATCTTAACAGAACAAAAAATGAGGAAATTGATATCTTTACAAATGTTTATGGTTCAGCAAGTTTATAGGTATATACAATGAAACAGAAAAGAAATCAATATTTTTATTAAACTATATATTGGAATGTTGTGTCTTAATTAATTGGCAATAATATTACAGCGCTAAAATTAGCAGTATCTGGTGCTTGCTCCAGACAGATTAGATGCCCAAGGCATAAGAGACTGTATCAACTTTTCTGTGACATGAATGTTTTCATTATGTAATTCAACTTTTTGAACTTAGAAATTCATCTTAATCTAATTCACAATTTTGTTTAAACGCTTCACCTATGATCAAAACGCAATATTTGGACACATATTATTATTACATTTTCATACTACAGAAATATCATTGATGCTTTAATATTTAGCTGACACATAGTAATAAACTATGTTTATGCGTAATAAGTTTGAACCAAGATTTGAACAATTTGTTCATCATTCTGATTCAAAGTTCAATACGAGGGAATGTTTCAATTTTTGACGTTTACTGTTCTTACTATGTAAATACTTGGATAATATGTGTGACAAACATACTTATGTGATCTACCAAAATCTTCGTAATGATACCAACTAAAAGCCTCATGTAATAGTTTTCCATATTATTTTACCTTAAAAACAATTTTAGAGCATTATTTTTGGCCAAAACATTAAACATACGGCATCACCCGTAACATTTTATGTTCACGACATATTTCAAAATGATGTGGAATCATTATTTTTATTCAATTTTGATGATTTAGATAAGAATCATGATGTCATTGATGTTTAGGCAACAATGTAAAAATATGCAGCTTTCTCAACATCTAAGGAAATCACTGGACCATCACACTGTTGTTTTGCCAACTCATAGGAAAGTAATATGTCATTTATTTCAAAATGATTACTTGTCAAATGATACGAAAAGCAGTGTTAATTTTGTAATTTTTGATCTCTCGATGTTACAAAGTATGCCCCAGTATTGAAATTCTGTTCTGTATATATCTCTCATTATCGCACAAAATAGTATTGGGTTTCTCAGATCAACCTAACTATTATTTGCAGAAGGTACAGGTTTAAACCTTTATGGACTTTGAAACTGCATACCTGTTAAAGGTAGTTTAGGATATTTTGGGTCAGTTTCCTTATGCTTGGTTGTGATCCGAGACTTCTTTTTCTTACGGTGCAAAATTAATATACATGCTTTTTGAAATTTTCGCTGGACAACTTACTTTTTAAATTTTACCAGTAATCTAATATACTATATCTGCCATTTATCACATCTCATAAGAATGATACTGCATACTTTAATATTTTTGGAATAATACAATTACAAACTGATTAAGTTTATATATAATTTGATATTTTTTATCTCAGGTCTGGATAAGACTAGCTCTATAATTCCCTTCAATATAATGTTGACAATATTTGGGCTTTCAAATGATGCAGACTGTCACTATTTTTACATAAAACAAATAAATCAAATCACACTATCTGATTCTTGGCAATATTCCTTAGATAAATATATTTTTCATGTATATAAGTAAAAACAAAACACAACATTTGATCGCACATACTTTATTTTCTGAATTGTTGCCATTATTTCAACCATGCATTTGAAGAGTTATTGTTTGTCAGATGCTATAAAGTTATTTGAATGCTAAACAAGCCAATTGGCGGTTTGCAGTCCCAAAAGTCTTATCCATCAGTTGCATATGAGTGGAAAAAACATAACCCAATGACGCCTAACAAGGGAGCCAACGTGTAGCTAAGGTTTATGTATCCCTATAGAGCCATTTGAGGGAGATATTGGTTCCCTATCACTTATTCTAATTTATGCATTATGACAGTGAATCCGCACTGAATGAGATTACTTGAAATAATAGTCACAGTTTCGGAGCCCTGGAATACATGAAAATACGAAAGGGAAAAGGGAGGTAAATCAGTTTGTGTAATGATGCATGCATAGGAATTCACTGAAGTAGACTGATTCTCGTAAAGATCATCAGTTAAGTTTCAGGTAAATCATCATAGATAGGACAGTAATTAGGAAGCATATTGCATTGGAACTGCATCAGGACAGTCGTTTCAACCAGTTGCTTTGAAAGGCTCACATATTTAATTAGGAACATGGGCTCGTGATAGTTAGAGAGATGTTATTTGGTGAGTCTCGCAATTGCTTGTATTCCTCAGTCAATATTCTCAATGCAGATTTATTGGTAAAGCAGTTAATAAAGCAGTAGTACATTTCTACAATGTTTTCTAACCATCTCTGACATAAATTGGCTTGTATCATGAATTGCGTGCCAAAGGAGTCCTATATGGAAGATCTCATTTTTGATTACCGTACTCAAGAAGGTGACAGTGAAAAAACACCTCTCAACAAGTGGAACCACAAGAGATATCCATAGAGGACAGAGGAGTATTTATTGCAACAGATGAACATTAAGAAGGATCAAAGGATTATTTGAAGAGCTTACGCTTATCCGTGGCAATTTAACACACATTGCTGTAAGAGCATAGCATACTAATCTCTTACTGTCAGATCCAGGATTGTTCTATTCTACAAGAAAAGGATGCAATAACAAGGAGAATTGATTACAATGAGTATTAACTTCACTTTCATGGAACTGAATACATGTGGACCGAAAATTAAAGCAATGGATTTTCAATGACAGATATATATATATATGATATCTCCCCTAATACTGATACTATTATGATTTGCTGGAGATCAGCAAATCAAATTTCATTCAAAGGTAAAGATTCATTTTATTTTCACAAATTGTAGTAATGATCACACTGATTTATTCATGTCTATTATGATGACTATTATGCATTAAATTCATTTGTGGGATTGATTCCCATTAGGGATATTTTTCTTTCTGTAGAACATAATTGTCCTAAATTTGGACTATGAGATGCTATCACACAGTGTGATTTCTCTAAGATAAAATTTGAGAACTAAATTGATATATAATGACATTCAAGTGTAGTGCTAAATGTAAGGGAATAGGGGTAAGATAGCATCGCCTCTATAGATCTGAAAATACTCTTTTTAACATAATAATAAATACAGATCACAGGTTGCTATGTACTGTACGTTTTTTTCCTCAAAACTCATTCCTACGTTTGAAACCGGGTTTGAAGCCAGAGCATTCTTTGGCATTTAACTATTACACAACATATGAGGCTTAATTTGGTATATTTAGTACGTTTTGGATGTTTCTCTATTTGGGCCATTGTGCTGACATAGTAGGATATATTACTATTACCTCTGATGTGTTTGAGCATTAACAGCTGTTCATTCTAGTCAGATTGACTGATGAAACAACCTGTTTTGGGGTTGAGTCAGCCAAGCAGTCTAGAGCACTGAACACGCTGAGCTAGGCGCTGTCACCATAACCATGAGGTTGTGAGTTTGAGACGTGTGAGCTCCTTGCATTTATCATCTTTTCATCATTTCATAATCATATTACCTATACATCTAATTGTCCCTTAAATGTGTGTATAATGTGCAGCATATGAACAAAATTTAATCTACCTTTAATCTTGGGGGATGTATACATGTACTTCTAAATGACCCTGACGATTATTTATCTTCAGATGGAATTTCTTGAAAAATTGTATATAAATAGTTGTTTTTGGATACATCTACACATGAATATAACTAAATGCCCAACATAGATTGGTTCATGAGATTTCATAAATTCAAATTTAAAAATGGCACTGCACTGCAATGACTCCGCACCATATGCGGATATATCCACAAGTGCCTAAGGGAAAGGACCAAACATTGTAACAGAACCCAGCAAGAAAAAAATCAAAGTGTACACCAGTCATAAGGAAAAGAAACTGTAACTAAACCTAATGGTTTATCAATTTACATTTATTCTTCAACATAATGTAATGGCTTCTGTAAAAATGGAATGTCCCTTGGTGTTATGGTCCTGGATTGTGATAATATCAGACATTATTTCTTTTCATGTTTAATTATGGTTTGGGATATGGGGTCTGTTTCCTAATGACTGGTGTATTCTACTAAGCATGAATGACATGTCCCATGTGATTGGGTGTGAGGAAGGAGGTATTATACATTCCTTATATGTTACATCATAATCTGGGATACTAGATATAGTACATGTATATGCATTTTTTTCATTTTCTTGCGCTGATTTAAATACATACAAATTTATCAGTTGTAGAACAATAGGGGGCATATGTAATCTGCATTGTCGCCTACATTACTACATATATTAATGAGGACTTCATGTTACATTATAACATGACGCAGAATAACAAAATTGAGGAACATCAGTATGTATGGATCTATATCCAAATGATGTATTATTGATATGATTTAATAATATCCAGACAAAAAGCTTTGTATCCTGTCTACATGAATTCCCTCTGCATCATCAGATCATTGAATCATGAATTCAACATCCACTACGTAAACTGAATTTCATTTATCACAGGATATGCAAAGAATAAACCAAGTTGAAATGTTGATTTTTAATCTACTTATATTCCTAATCCCAGATACTATACAATAATTACCATCCAACATTTAATATCAGTTATAATATTTGCAATAGTTCCAGATATATCCGGGCATAAAATACCTTTATTTGTAAAATAATGTGAAAGGAAGATACATACATGTTTTCAGTTTCTATTTTATGATCATTACGATTAGTGAAAGTGAAACACAAGAGAGCAATCCTGTAGATCCTTTACCAGGTTGATATAGCTGATTTCAAAGAATAAAGTAAATTTCTGAAAGCCTGTCACAAAAACAATAGCTATAACAATGTGTCGCAACTTCTTTGTCGAGACATAAAAATCAAACATATATAGCTAAGATGATAAATCCTGCAGCTTCATTATTGTCATGACCTCTATATAAATGATATGTTGCATGGTCTTGTATTTTTGAATTGTGAATAGTTTTTGAAATGCTCCTCTTTTTCCCACATTTTCTATGAGATTTAATTGATTGATTCAAAGATTGAATAAAAAAAGTTCAAATGATACCCTCGGGGTTTCACGGTAGTACAAAACTGAAGCATATGTGGAAAGCAATTTCTCTGGAAGCATGAAGACAAGATATATGAAAAGATCCAATATGGCCTCCAAAATTAAGATTCTAAAGAAAATTGAAAGTCAAAAAAGATTAGAAATACAAAAAGGCCAGCTTGTATCCCGCAGCATGCCTAAAACCTATACAGGACTGATTCCACTAGTATGCGCACGCATCTGTTAAAATCAAATGCATCAATGGTTGTGTAAGTGATAATAAGTATTATCCAATCTGACCACCTGCCAGGCAGCAAAAGGCAAATGTAAATATAGCGAATAGTTTGATAAATGAAAAGGCAAAATATCAGCATCTCCATAAAAATCCACATCTCGATTGTCTGAGAATGCAAGCATCAGAATCAGATAACTTATCCTAGACACTCATTACCGTTTTGGGTATTGGTTTTTAATTTATTGTTTGTTATTTATTGTATTGTTATATCTCCATTCAGTTTGTTCATTGAATTCTCATTTATACCATGTGATCTCAATCTCATGTTCATTGCAATTTGTGCCACATTTATTTTGCTTTGATATGACAACATTTAATGTTACAAAGTAATGTAAATGAACCAGCTAAAAAATCTGAGGGCATGAGGATTGGTCCTGACACTGGAAGTGCAGTCTTGCATTTCGGCTGTATGTGTGCATGGTGTGTGTATGTGTGCATGGTGTGTGTATGTGTGCATGGTGTGTGTATGTGTGCATGGTGTGTGTATGTGGCTACTTGTGTGTTTCTACTCAGCTTTGATAATGAAAGAACCTTTTTGGCCTGTGACTTTGGTTGTGCAGTCTAGAACACTGTTATTTAAAGGTCATGTGTTTGATTCTGACAATGTTCAATTGGACTGATGAAGACATTTTATTTCTGATCTTATGCATGTTTGCTTGTAGGATAGAAAAGAACAGAAAGTTATAACTCTCCAACTGACTTGAAGAAGTATATAAGGTAAGTTTTTTTCTGCCCAAGAACTAAATCAGATTAATCATAATACAATTATAATATCTCCAAAACAAATTTAAAAACAGAGTGACACAATTTGCAAAACATGCTTGTTAATATAATGTTATTCAATACAGGAAGGATGAAACATGAGTGGAAAACAGCTCTAATAAGTTGACCAAAGAGGAAAATGTGCTTAACTTTAAGAATGCATTGTCTGAGTGCAAAAATTGTAGCAAATAATTGTTAAATATTAGGTGTACTATAACTGCTTTGTTTTATCAATGCTACTCTAACTTTGGTTGCTAATGACAAAACTCAATTGACATTTGATTCAAATATAACACGCTTGCATAAAATGTTGTCTCATTTCAATGAAATAACATGGACTGAAAATTAAGTTCACACATTGATGTGTATAGCAATGCAAATTCTACAATTTATCAGGAGTAAAAAGCGTCTGATGTCACGTAAAGCAGTAATTTGAAGGAGAATATATGATCAACTGTAGACACTTTTGGCTGTGTAATCTACCATGATCTCGATCCACCATCATATTTAATTAAAGGGAAATTCCACAAATGGCAAAAACCAAACGTTGTTTTATCAAGATGCCAGAGTGACCTGGTATTAACCAATTTCATAATTGTATTTGGACAGTTATATGTGTGGTATCGTAGATGAATTGTCAGATAGTTGATTGTGAAGATAAATATGTATCTAAAAGGAGGACTTTTGGTATTGTAAGTGGTTTTCAAATTGCCAGTAGTGATGAGATAATCCTATTAAATCTATCAGAATGACTTTGAAGATATTGTTAATAATGTATTGAAGAAAAATATATGTTAAACAAATTGTCTTTTAATATATGTTTTACTACCAATATTTTTTTCACTTTATTAGTACGGTTAAAAAGAGTTTACCTGTAGTTAAATATCATATGGATATGCTCAAAAACAATCCCCGAAACATGAATTCATGAGTATTGAGGATGATTGGAATCAGGTTTTTAAAATCACAACTGGAAAGTTACAATGTTTTAACTAAACATATTATGATATGAGAAAATACATATACAACAGAGCTAGGCTTGTGAAGATCAATAATATGAGGTGGATGAACAGATTTTAGTCAATATGTAATCTGGAACAGTTACTAGCCGAGATGGTAATACATTGACGTCAAATTGGGTTTGTATAAAAATGCATTTAGGGTGAAACTTATTTACAAACGAACAACTCAATCATTATAACACTGGCATAAGTGCTTTGATGTAACAGATTTCCTCATATGATGGTTCCTTATAATACAAAGTTCATTCACCTTTTGGAATTTCAATCAAATAGAGATATTGGTTAGCATAGAAATACAGAATCAACAGTGACCATTATAACTATATAATAATTATTAGGGTCAACCATGCAAGAATATTTTGGATAAAATAGAACTTACAGTTCTCTGATGTATTACATTACATACTATCGAGTACATCAAGTAATGACATATAGTTTGGAATGATGAGGTCATTCCCCAATACCTCATTAATTAAAGTAGCTAAAGCTGTATTATGTGATCTGAAACAGAAAATTAGAATTATTGTATTATCAACAACTTATTTTGTAATAATAAATGAAATTCATCTCTGGTTATAATAATTTGACTATGGAAACATCTAAAAAGTATTTATCTTTATCTTAACTTATCAATGACATTTTGTTTGTTTTTGTTCAAAGCTTTCAAACAGTACATATAGCCACACACATCTGAGATTATAATTTTGCTCAAAAATTAGGTAAGCCACTTATTTTAATGGCATTCAAAATGCAGAATAAATTTGTTATACCAACTCAAACATTGGCCGCCACTGTCACATCACTGCTGTATGTTTTTCATCTTTTCAAAAACACAACAATCTCAATAATTGTACAATGTCAATAGAAATTGTTTCTAAATTGAGCATATTGTTAAAGATTTATTTTCTAGTCTCAGCCCAGTATATTACAATTTCCTCTTAATTTGTGACAGGGAAATTAATGGTGTCAGTGCAATATCTTTCAGCCATGAACACTGTTTCTTGCAACTTAAAATCGTATCATGTACTTTATCTGTATCATGATTCAAAAATTGAAAATATAATTCAAGCAAGTTCGGTTAATCACAATTGTAAGCATAACACAAATTAATATAAAAATATTTCAATTTACTAGAGGTGCCATCTTTTTGAGAATATCAATAATGTCCTTGGTACCCTTCTTCTCATGTTACCTGCAGTCATTTTGAAGAACATGATGTTTTATGTCATATTTTATTTGACATTGGCTAATCTGCCTCTAAAACATTTCATATCGGGTTACATGATGTTGATTAAAAACATTTGATATTTATAGGAAAAGCAGCATGGTGTGTTATTGAATTATGATACAATAAGGGACCAGACCAATGATTTTATTACATTTAGAATTGACACCCTCTCACCCAAAATAAATTAATACATTTACTGGTATTCATTTTCCCAATTTGGAAGTTGCTTTCTTTTAAAACTGATGTAGGATAAGATACATATTAACATTTACCCCCTCCCATCAAATTTAATCAATCACTTATGTGGGTATACATCAACTTTTAACTATGTCCCTCAAAGTATATCTAATAATAGTCTACAAAACTTGATTTTTCTTAGAGACATACAAATGTTTGTCTTGAATTTGTGAACATTAAATAAGACAGACATCAAGACTTAAAGCAAATCGAACAGACGAAAATAGACTGCAGATGAGGCAAGATCATCTAATACAAAACCTAATCAAGTATTGATAAAATGTTTTCATCATCAATAGAGTTTTATTGCCATTCATCTCAAGCTTAAACACACTTAATTCAACCACTGATCCCTTGTCTCATGGATTCACACTGCTAATTTGTCAATTGCTCCTAGGAATATTTATGAGACCCCAGTGACAGCAAAAGAATCCGCATTAAGCAAGGGAATGACATTTGCATATTAATTTTTAGATAATACAGTTGATCTCAAATAAAACTGCATTGTCTGCTAAAACTGTAATTGGTAACGACAAATTATGTTTCCTTTTTACAGTAAACAAGATTATTTTTGACTTTTAGTTAAAACTAGACCTGAGTACTGCTACAGCAGTTTGTACTTTCCAGTTTGAATTCCTGTGATAAGGTACAATGTTTTCAAATGACAAAATGTCACCACCTGAAAAATGTAAAGGGAAATGATGGCTATTACAATACACCATCATGTCTTGGTGGGACATAGATTCAGTACATAAGCATAGAACTAATAATTAATCTTAATATTTTCAATCGTATGTGACTGCATGATAGGCAAATACTGAAAAGCATATTGGGCAATATGTAATGAAAACTAAAAGAAGGTTTAGCTTGTAATTAATCTAAATACTTTCAATTGTGTGTGACTGTATGATAGGCAAATACTGAAAAGCATATTGGGCAATATGTAATGAAAACTAAAAGAAGGTTTAGCTTGTAATTAATCTAAATATTTTCAATTGTGTGTGACTGTATGATAGGCAAATACTGAAAAGCATACTAGGCAATATCTGATGAAAACAAAAACAAGGTTTAGTTTGTATGTTCTCATTTGGATGTCCTGATGATGAGTGATATTACATTAGATACTATCATTTTTACATTTTATGTATAAGATGGTGTGCCTTGTGCTACTGTCCTTAAAGTTTCAGTCATGAGGAACATTTAATAGTTTTTAAAAATCTGTTGCATCACCCCTCATTAGGATTACATCTCCTCAAGATTCAATAAAACACAGCTGCTTTAAAACACAACATGACAACTTCAAATTGTTTTTCTGGCAAATGATGAGTAATTGGTTCAATATTAGAATAAGCAAGCATTGTATGACAAATCAATCCATCTTTAGAGGGAAAGGTTAGTCTAGAACACAACTAGCTGAATTGATACTATGCTTCTTGTTAGTCCCAAGAGACTACAACTGAGATGTTTCTTACTTATTAACTAAGAAATATTATGCACTAGCTATGTGATTGGAATATATGTTTGTTATTGGATCAATTCAGCTACTCTATGGTTGGTATTTAGCCAATTTAATCCCCAAACAAGCAATCTAAATCATTGACATATATCCGGGATTGCTGAAGCAGTGAACATAACAAGCATTACATTTTGAGTCATATCCCACTGATTTAATCTAACACATGATATATTTCTTTATTTCAAATTGTAAACAATAGACAAATGTTATTTTTAATCAAATATTCGCATCTGTAAAATGAAATGTGATGTAACTCTGTGTGCTATTAATTAATATTTTGAATGATTAAGCCAACTCGGATGTTTCATTCAAAGTTAAATTCAAATTAATGTTTATATATAATAAATGGGGCCAGTGACTTTAGAATCTGAATACAAAAAACGAATTGGAGTTTTGAGGGTGCCATTATGAATATGGTTCTATGATTGATTTCTTGTTTCGCATTATCTTTCATATATTATATATGTTTGAAAGTGTCCATCTCTAAACCCTGTAGCTAAATGAAATACACTCCCAATATCTTCTAAATGGATGTTTATCCAAGCTGGAGACAGAGCAGTATTAAACCAATGACATTCCACATGCCAAATACTAATCCTATATTAGAGCAGAACATGCTCAGTGACAGCAAGTTCATGTTAGGAAAGATCATGGCCATTTTGGTTGAAAAATTGGAATAGAGAAAATCAATTGACAGTGTTTTTATGTTAGGTGATCATGCTTGATGATATGTGATCTTGTTGGAAACATCTCTTAACATTATAAATAGCATGAAGAGGCTTTCGTTTTTGAAGTCATGAATGTGTTGCTCATTGTGTATAATGTACCTATCTCAATTTGTTATTTCAAAGGACTTATCCTACAAAGATACTTGTTGCACAATGACAAATTGTTTGAAGCCCAAGAAGAGTTAAACAGTTTAAAATATTTCAAAAGGAGAAGCAAAACTGGC